TAAGGTACAAAACTGTGGACTCATCAAGATAGGATAATTAATGGAGCATTTTCTCTGAACTTGCCAAATACAAATGAACTGAACATTGTAAATGTAATTCTTATCTGATAATTGTTCTTATTGTATATCATTTTGCTGTGTTAGAGTTTAAACCTTTCTTTTTTTATTTAAACCAAAAGAGGGAAATGTTGTAGAATAATCTTTTTGTACACTGTGAATATGCATCACTCTGACTGGTTTAATAAAAAGCTGAATGGCCAATAGCTAGGCAGAATTTTTGGGGCGGAGAGGAGAAGAAGAAGAAGAAGAAGAAGAAGAAGAAGAAGAAGAAGAAGAAGAAGAAGAAGAAGAAGAAGAAGAAGAAGAGGTGGAGGAGGAGGAGGAGGAAGAGGAAGAGGAAGAAGAAGAAGAGGTGGAGGAGGAGGAGGAGGAAGAAGAAGAGGAGGAGGAGGAAGAAGAAGAAGAAGAAGAAGAAGAAGAAGAAGAAGAAGAAGAAGAAGAAGGAAGCCTTCAAAAGATACAGGAAAACAGGAAGGACAGTACCTAATGAGATAAACAAGTCTCGGGAGAGCATATAGATTAGTAGAAATGGGTTACCTTAAGTTCTAAAAGCTAGTTAGAAACAAGTCTAAGCTATAGACTGAGCTATCATAATTAGAAGTCTCTATATTATTTATTTGGGAGCAGGCTGGCAGGACAAAGACTCATTACAGGAAAGGACTGGCATTGTAGGTGGACTTCTAGGTTCAGCCATGGGGCAAAGAGATAGATACTTCAGACAGGCACATCCTCAAATCAAAACTGACATTTGAGTCACAAAATGTCTCAGTCTGCCCGTAGCTTCTAGTTCATACTTAGGTTCAGAACAGCTTTCTCCTTTGCCTGTTTCTGGCTGTCCTTACTACTACAGGATCTCTGGTGTAGTAGATTTGAGCATGCTCACTCACCTCCAGACACAAATACCTTCCCCAACTCAGGGAGTGTTTGCTTGCATGTATGTATGCTCACCAAGTATTTGCAGTGCCCTCAGAGGCCAAAGAGGATGTTGAATCCTCCTGGAGCTGGTGCTACAGATGTTTGGGAGCAGCCTGATGTGGGTGCTTAGAACGAGCCCAGGTCCTGCAGCAAGTACTCTTAACTTCAGAGCTACCTCTCCAGCCCTGGGAAGACATCTTCTTAGCATGAATATAATTTGCCACAATTCTTTTCTATTGCTTTTGTTGTTGATGTTTTGTTTTCACTAATATTCCTGAGGTTTCTTCTCAGACTTCCTCCTTGGAACTAGTGTGAATTTTTCAAATAATTAAAAGTTCAAAGTCTGTCAGTGGTGGCCCACACCTTCAATCCTGACACTCAAGAGAAAGAGGCAGGCAAATTTTTGTGAGTTTGAGGTCAATCTGGTCTACAGAGAGAGTACCAGGACAGTCAAGAATACACAGAGAAACCTGGTCTCAAAAAAACAAGGGAAAAATGTTCAAAACCCAAGCCAATGTAGCCTATACCAATAACAAGTAATAGGGCGAACAGTGACATATTGGGGAAAAGCCTTCATAACCTACATTCTCTCTCCTGTTTCTTTTTTGTTTGCTTTTTAAAATATTTCTTAATTATGTGATATGTGTGTGTGTAGGTGTATGGGGGCCAGAGGTATCAGATCCTCTGGAGCTGGAGTCATAGGTAGTTGTGGGCTACCGGAAGTGGGTTCTGGGAACTGAGCACCAATCCTCTACAGGAGCAGCACATACTCAATTGCTGAGTTGTGTTTCCACCTTACACCCCCTCCCACTTTCTGAAACAGAGTCCTTTTGTGTGGCTCTGGTTGGCTTCAAACTTGCAATGACCCTTCTGCCTCTACTTACCCAGTGCTGGAATTGTAGGAATGTGCCACCATTCCTGGCAAGCACAGTTGTTTCTCTAGTCAGTACATATTGAGAATTGTCTACTTCAGAGAACGAAGTTTTTATCCCCTTTCCATGCGAGATGAAGTCAAACTTACAAGATTTCTGTTCCTAATTGTTAAAGGAAGATTCCCCATCTATTTGCTTCCCTTCCTGTTCCATTGATTCACCTGATAAGTCACTTATGTCCCCTAAGGGACATTTGTCGAATTAACTTGTGGATTTAACTTGGGTCTTGGCTGTCTGTTCATAGGGTTGTTCAATATCACTAGGTCTTCCAGTTTCTGTAGAATCACTTGCTTGAATCTGTTGGTAGAGTCAAAGTTTCAACAGTCCCTGCCTTGTGAGCTCTGTTCGTACATTTTGAGATTGTGCAAATGTAATCAGAGTAGCTCTGTTTCTTGGGTGAGAAAAGGCAACTTTGAGTACAGGTTGTTCTTTCTTGGCTACAATTCATGATGGAAAAAAAAACGGTTAGGAGGGAAACCATAAATTGTTATCATGCTCTTTGTACCCAGTGCCTTTCTCCGATAAGTGAGCAGTGATAAAATCCAGACAGTGTCAGAAGTTTCTTGCTTATGAAAACCTTTTCATCAAAGAGTAGTCTACCCATGAGTCCAAAAGCATTGCCACACATTTCGGTGTTACACTTGGCTCTTCTGATGAGCTCATCTGCTCCTGCTTGCCAAGGCTTAGCAGGATTCCTAGGCTCCGGCCTCTAGAACTTGTCCAGGTTTGCAGAACAGGATCACGGAGAAATAGTTCCTTTCTGATCCCAGGAGAAGAAGGGTCAAACCCCCAGGAGGTTGATCATCCTGAAGTAGGTGGTATGAAGGGAACTGAAGAAATAAAAGAGAAAGTTACAATCATAACGAGCCCCAGAAGGGTAGTAATTGTTATGGTAATGAGCTGGGCAAATGGCCTTGGCCAGGGAAAGGATGAGCCAGGGAGGGTAAATCCCATCTGAGGTTAGATCTGTGCTCCTTTAGATGTAGGCTCTGCCCACACAGCTCTGTCTCTGAGCCCACACTAATTTCCTGGCCCTACTAGCCAGGCTGGCTAAGTTTTTCCCTGTTACAGCTGTTGAATGTCTTCCATTTTCTCCTCTATCTTTATCTTCTTTTGTTTGTCTGTGTATGTGTGTGTGGTGAGTATGTGTAGAGTGTTGCATGGTACACAAAGTCTGTTTTGTTATTTTAGACAAAAAAGGGAAAATGTCGTGATATTTTGCTTATGATATAATAAACAAAGTTTGCCTGAAGCTCAGAGTGCAAAATTAGCCACAAGAGCTAGCCATAGAGTTCAGACAGTGGTGGCATATACCTTTAATCCCAGCACTCGGGAGACAAAGGCAGAAGAATCTCTGTTAGTTCAAGGCCACCCTAAGCTACATGAAATTGATCTAGTCTAAAAGAGAAACAGCTCCCACAAAGGTGACCTCAACACTTGGGATCCCATTCCTTTAATCCCAGCACTAGTGAAGAATATAAGGCAGGAGGAGACAGGAACTGAGGGTATTCTGAGCTTTGGGGGAGAGCATTGCAGTCTGAATGAGTCTGAGGAGCAGTACAGTTGGGAGCAGTCTGAGTTTCTGTGGATCACCCTTTCTGTCTGAGCATTGGTAGAGGTAAGAACTCTCTAGTGGCTGGCTGCTTCACTTCTCTGATCTACAGGCAAGTTTTACTAGTTAGATCATAAACAAAATATCACCACATGGTGTCTTCCATGATTGCTCACCTCCTTACTCATTTTATTGGGCTAGGGTCTCTCACTTGAACACAGAGCTTTAGAAATTATCCTGTCTCCACCTCCCTGAGCACTGGGACTCTACATGGGCCTCCATGCCTACCCAGCATTTATGTGGGTGCTAGAGATCTGAACTCTGGTGTCTCTATGCTTGCTCAACAATCACTTTACCTACTGGACCATTTCCCCAGCTCTTTCCCGTGCTGGTTTCTTCCTCTTTCTAGCTTGCTCTCTGTCTAGGGAGACTGGTGTCTAGGGAATGTCTTAACAGATGCCTTAGGCCTCTGGCCCCTGAGTGGCTTCAGTCTATGAGGAACTCTGGCAGAGGAAGAGCCATTTTGTTTTGTTTTTGTTTTTCAAGACAGGGCTTCTCTGTGTTTCCCTGGCTGTCCTGGAACTGGTTCTGCAGACCAGGCTGGCTTCGGACTCAGATCTGCCTGTCTCTTGCCTCCTGAGTGCTGGGACTAAAGCCCTGCACCGGTACAGCCCAGCAAGAGATCCAGTTCTTAGTACCCAACTCCCTCCTAGTGGTCTCTTCTCAAACTCCCCTCTCTTTGGTTCTAGAAACCCCACTTCCAGCCATTGATACCTAGACTGATAATGGCTCTCCCTGGTTCACTAGTCCCTCCATGCTTGTGGCCTCTCACCTACACAAGGCCGTTCCAGACTGGAGTGTGAAATTTTTCTGGCTGACCCTGATACATAGGACAGTGAATGACTGTGCTGACAAGCTGTCTTCCGCAGCCTGCGGCGTGTGGCACTGTACTGGGTAACTTTGGGTCTCTTCTGTCATCTGCATCTGATTTATAACGACCCTTATAGACAAAATGATACTCAAACGCCTTCTGATTCTGTTTATCCTGCAATATCTTTTTTGGGTTTTGAGTTTTAACTAAGATAGTGGAGGGCAGAACAGGCAAGTCTGTACTACGTTGCTGTCATTTCAAACGACTACTAACAACAGCTAGCAGCTGGGCAGTGTTTAATAGCTGCAGAGATGATTCTACAAGTATCAGTAAGTGGTTCCGCCATTCTGGCACGTGAGGGCTCAAGGTCATGCGATTTCAGCATCTAAGAGGAGATGATGTTGTACCAAAGGGATTCTTTCAGGAAAGGCTTTGGAGGATCCGTCGCCCAGAGAAAAGCAGTGGGAGGCCAGCGTCCCTTTGGGTCTATGTTTCCCTGGTTGTAAAAGAAAGCGAACTGCTTCTAAATCCAGTCCGCACAGTGGATCACCGCAGACACAAACGCAGACTGCACATTTACAGAGGGCAGCGGAGTTTGGCGCCTTGCCGCTCAAGGCCGGGTGGGTGGGGCGAGGGCGGGCCTCGTGCGATTGGCGTGCGGCCCTCCGCTTCAACCAATGAGTTGCAAGCACAGGCGGGGCGGGGCAGACACGGCGTCTTAAATTGAGTGACGCGCCTGGCCGTCACTTCGGGCTTCGTGACTCAAGTGCGATCGCTCAACCCTAGCGGACGCTGTCAGGTATCAAGTGCGCGCCGGGGCTGGGCCGAAGGGGCTCGGGACCTGCTCGGTGTCCCCGAGTCTCAGCCAGGGCATCACTGGGCTGTATCGGTCTAGAGTGAGGCACATCTTCGGGGCGGGGCGGGGCGGGGCGGGTGGGCTAGGCGAGGGGACAGGCAGGGAACAGGAGGCCGGAGACGTGGCACCGCAGCCTGCCAGGCACAGCTCAGGCTCGCCGCCTCGGGGCACTCGCCTAGGGCCTTCGAGGCCTCGAGAAAGTGCCGTCTGGAGCAGCCTGCCTGCCGGGGACCGGGTCCCTGGGGACAGAGCTGTGACCGCGTGGCCCCGTCACCGGGCGGGGGCGCTGATGCGGGCCGAGTCGAAGTTCTTGGGGCTCCTCTAGGTCCCGCGACTGCTAGTGCCATCCTCCACACTCCCCGCTTTCTCTCCAGCTCTAAACCAAATTAAGAGGATTGAGGAAGTGACGTGTACATTATTGAGATGTTGGCTAGGGATTGGCCCACAGGGCTTTCGGCACGAAGCCCTCCCCACCCGCCTTGGCTTTTCGCAGGCGATGCTGAACCTCAGAAAATTCCAGTCTAATTTTGCGGAACTCTCGATACCAGAAAACCTTGCCTCAGGCTTACATCATACCTGGTAGTGCACTTATTTACCTTGTAGATGTGTCAAGACATATTAAGGGAGGAGAAAGTGATTTTGGAATGAAGTGTCCTTTCCAACTGAATACCCTCCCAGTTCTCCATCCTAAATCTCCTCAGTCAGGAATGTCAGACCATCTGTAGGTAAATGAATTTCATGTAACCTGAAACTGTATTTATGATTTTTATTTTGGTTTTTCGAGACAGGGTTTCTCTGTATTGTATTTATGATTTTTAAAACTGTGTGTGTGTTTGTGGGTGTGTGCACATGAATGCAGACGCCCTCTGAGCCAGAGAGGTCCAGTCCTTCTAGAGCAGGAGTTCTCGGTAGTTGTGCCATGTAATATGGGTGCTGGGAACCAAACTCTGGTCTTCTGGATGGCTAGTAGGTGATCTTAACTTCTGAACCCTCTCTCCAGCTCCTAAAACTTTAATTATATAAAGGTATTTTTCTGTCTCATATATTTTCCTTTCACAGTCTACTTTTATTATAGTTATTTGGGTTTGTATTTTTTGCCCTTTGCTGAGTTCTTACAGATAAGTCAAATTCCTTACTTTTAAAAATAGTAATGAATGGGCTGTGATTTGGGGAGGTGTGTGGAGGGTGCGGTGGAGTTGGTCCAATCCTTTTCCAGTAGTATTACTTTAGTTGTTTGCTTGTGACGCACGTGAGGTGAATTTTAACCAGAATATTGGTTACGTAAAACAAAGCTTTTGTTGGCAGAACTTCAAAAAATAAAGCCCTGTATTTGTGAATGGTTACCTCAGAAAAGTAAATATTTGACAATAGACAAACCAAATTTACTTCTCAAGCTGAATATTTTCAATGGCTTTTGGATGACTTTACACTGATGATCCTTTTAGAGTCATTTAAAAAAATGTTATTTAATAAGGCAGACTAAACAAATTCTTCCAAATGCAGCCCTTTATGGAAACTCCTGTGGAAACATTGCTTTGGGCTGATCCAAGGCAGTGGCCAGTGATGGCTTAAAATTAAATGTTAGGTGTTCAGAATTCTCAGCCTATCATTAGAACTTGTTCTCGTTTCTAGGTCTTTATATCTACTAAATATAAATAAGAAATGAATAATGTAAAATAGTAGATATAAATGAATAATAATGTGTTTAGCAGTACATTATTTTGCCCTTTGAAGACTGAAAGTGATTCTAAGAGTGAACCCTTGATGAAAAGATGAGTTTCTGCACAGGGGCACGGAGAGGCAGCCTCTCAGAGCTAACTTACTCTGATGTGGTGGGTGGCCTCATTACCTCTCTAGTCTGGGCCACTTTCTGTGGCTGCCTTGCCACCTTTAGGAGTTGCGTCTTTAGTAAGGACCTTGTTCACTGTCAGAGAAGAGATGCCAGCAGAAGGCCCTTACGCAGGGTAGGTGATTTTGAGACATGGTTGGTTATTCCTTTTTATTTTCTTATCTGATTTCCATTTATTTATTTAATTTTAAGGCAGGGTCTCACTCTGTAGCCCTGGTTGGCCTGGAACTCACTATGTAGACCAGGTTGGCATCAGACTCAAAGAGATCCATCTGATTCTGCCTCCAGAGTGTAGAGATTAAAAAGGTGGATTCCAACGGGCCTGGCCTTTAACATCTTGGGTAGCCAAGGATGATCTTGAACTCCTGATCTTCCTGCCTCTGCTTCTCTGGTTTATTTGGTGTTGGAGATGGAATCCAGGGCTTCCAGCATGTTAGGCCAAGGGCTCTACCAACTGATTCTCAGGCCCATTTTATTTTATTTTATTTTTTTATTTTGAAAGAAAAGTAATCCAGTTAAAAAAAAAGAAACCATGGAAGTGGTTTTTTTTCCTGTGTAGAAATTGGCTAATGTTCCTGTGAACTTGGAGCAGAAGAGAACCTAATGAATGGCTCCTTTGTGCTAAACCTGAAGCTTTAGCATGAACTCTGCAAGACACCCATGGATGGCTTTGGCCTCATTTGAGAAATGGGGAAACTGGAGTTCAGAAAGACCGACACATTCACCCCTAGAGCCACAGACAGAATTTAAATTGCGAAACACTGGGTTTTCTACCCTACTTTTACCATTTCCCAAGCCTAGAGAAGGTTGTTGATGGCTATTTTGAAGGCCATTTTAATTAGAATTTTGTTCTAATTAGAATTTTGTTCTGATATTTCCCATACAGTACCAAACTCAGTAACTTGGATACAGAGGGTCTTTAGTAGAAATGTGCATAGTAGATTCTGATATATCATGGTCTGCAACTCTGATCTTCCCCAGTTAAGTGAAAGATACACTTTGAAGACTTGGAGGATATTACTCATGTTTTTAATGTTTTTGGTAGTCTACTGATAATGATCATTCTGTATAAAATTGAGGGGGCCCAGTAGATAAATTGATTGTAGCTGAGCAGGTAATTCTTGTGTAAATTGAGGTAAGTTGAGTTTAGGTAACCTTTTCTAGATTCTGTCCCCTTGCAGTTTTTGTTGTGAGTCAGGAGCTGAATGTAGCCTTGGCCTGGAAACCCTCCTGCCTCAGCACCCCTAATTGCTGGGATTACAGCCTCAGCCACCTCCTGCAGCAACTTGCATCTGTAAAAATACACTGTTGAAGCATTTTTAGGATTTTTTTCAAAAACCAGATTTTTTTCTGCCCACTGAAAAATCAGAGTTGTAGACTTTGGCCGCAAAAGTATAAGAGTAGTTTTTATTTTAAAATTTGACCCTTTTCCTAAGAACAGGTGACCTAGTGAACCCAAAGCAGCGGCACTTCCTTGAAGTATTGATTCTACTTTTCCTTAAACAACATTGTTTTTTCAAAGCTTACCAGGTCCTTTTAACTTGACTTTACTTGTTTCTTAGTCTCTGTCAAACACCTCAGACCCATATCCGTGTTTATTCGCAGTGTTTCTGACCATAAATACATTTTTTGTTTGTTTGTTTGGGTTTTTGTTTTTAGAGGTGGGTTTCTCTGTGTAGCTTTGGCTGTCCTGGAACTCACTCTGTGTAGCTTTGGCTTCGAACTCAGAGATTCTCCTGCCTCTCCCTCTCAAGTGCTGGGATCAAAGGCATTTTTCACCACCATCCAGTACCATAAATACAATTTATGGTCATTGTAGAAAATAGAGAATAGTTAAAGATAGTCACAATGATTTTTTTGTTTCTTTAGTTTTTCTGAATTGCGTAGTTGAACATATCCTGTATGTATAATTTTGTTTTCTTTACTTAAACATATCCTAAAATACCTTGCCATGTTATTAGAAACTTATTTTAAAGATTTCTCTATTTTTGTGTATATGAGTGTTTTGCCTGTGTGTAAATAAGTGCACTGCTAAGAAGTATCCGAGAAAGCATGGTTTTTCTTTCCCGAGACAGGATTTTTCTTTGTAACTATCCTGGCTCCCCTGGAACTCACTTTGTAGACCAGGCTGGTCTCAAACTCTCAGAGATCCGCCTGCTTCCACAGTGCTGGGATTAAAGGCGTACTCTACCACATCTGGCTGAGAAAGCATGTTTTATGCTTATTTGCTGGCAAAAATCAATACTGTTTTAAGTTTTAGTAGCTCAAACAGCATATGCTGTGTAGATTGCAAAGCGCCTAGAAAGAAATGATAAATAGGTGTTTTAGACTTAGTGGTGGTGATAGGGACCAGTTCTTTGTAGTACAGTTAGACATTTTCACTAACTGCCATTTCCAGTCTAGTGATCTTGCATTGTTTTTGTTAGTTTAAGAGAAAACACTGTGGAAGTTACAGACCTTTTTCATAGGAAAATGTACTTTCGTATATAATTGTGCGTTTTGTTCTAGGACTAACTGGGATCTTCTCAAGACAGCCCCCAGAGCTTAGGTTTCAAATCTTAGGTTTCAAATCTGTACTCTGGTCTGGACCGTGGGAAGAAGGAATAATGGCAAGTTTTTGGCAAACAAGACAGAGTTGTGGGATTTGACTAGTGATGGCAAATTCTTGAACCTCGCTGGATTTTTCGTGTGGAGTGAGAGCCAAGTTGAAAGGGAAGTTAGCCAAACCCTGTGATTGGCTGACTTGGCAGCTCAATCAGGAATGCTAAGATTATGCATGGTTTGACTTGTTAGAGAATTTTGTTGAAACAGCCATCCTCTTTTCATCTATTTATATATGTATGTCTGTTACTATAAAAGCTCAAGAGTCTTAACGAATCACAGAACAAGTCTTTTGCCTTTGTTTACATTGTTTGACTTCCAGGAGTTTTAGATATTTGTGCTAAATGACAGAGTCTACCTTTTGTAGTTTGGGTGCTCAACTCTTTCCAGCCTCCAAAAGTTACCTTTATCTGTCTCTCTCTCTCCACTTTTTCTTTTAAGATTTATTTGCTTTTATTTTACATGTATACTAAATGTTTGTCTACATGTATATATGTGTACCACATGAGTGCCTGGTGCCTGCCGAGATCAGAAGAGCATGTCAAATCCCCTGGAGTTACAGTTGTGAGCCACCATGTGGGTGCTGACATCTGAACCCAGATTTTCTGCAAAAGCAGCAAATTCTTTTAACCGCGGAGCCATCTCTCTAGCTCTGTCTCTCTGATGCCCCTACCCTCTACCTCTCTGTTTTGAGACAGAGGCTACTTGTAGCTCAGGCTGCTCTGGAACTTACTGTGTAGGTCAGACTAGCCTGGAACTTGTGTTGATCATCTTGCCTCTGCCTCCTAAATGCTGGGATTGCCTTACCTGGGTTAAAACCACATTTGTTATTAATTGGTATATAATACCTATATACCTGGACCGAGTACAGATGCAAAATAGGGAATAGAGGTGGTGAAGGCCAAGAGTGGGGCTGAGAGAGAATGAGGCATGTGCTGCTTGTAGTCTTCCTTCTAGATCGTCATTTGAGCCCAGAGTTGAAGACCAGTCTGGACTTTAAAAATGTGCAAAATGGCTCATTAGCCTCTGCTTCCTACCCCATGACTCACAGCTGCCCAGCATCTCTGGGCTCTGACTTGGCGCCCTGATATGTGCCCTGTACTCTGCACCCTCTGATAGGAAAAGGCTGGATACTGACTATGGTAGATGCTTGGCAGTTTCTTGGTGAACAGACATGTGTAGACCCCAGAAAGGTTCTCACTCAGCACCTTCTCTTACTTTGAACAGGTCTCTGTACTCCATTCCTGAAGGACACATACAATGTTTTCCAAACTAGCAAGTTTGCAGACTGTTGCTGCTCTGCGGCGTGGAGTTCATGCCTCAGTTACCTCTGCTGCGTCTGTTGCAACTAAGAAGACAGTCCAAGGCCCACCATCCTCTGACTACATTTTTGAACGGGAATCTAAGTATGGTGCACACAATTACCATCCTTTACCTGTAGCCCTGGAGAGAGGAAAAGGTATGTTTTGGATTAATCCACCTCCACATTTGCTGGAAATTTGTTGTTTTGTGTAATCTCACATCCAACCCGCATTGATGTGTGTTGCAGATGGGGCTCCTTTGACTTTACTAAGTGTCTAGGGCACCTGTGCCAGTGGGTCCTCCCCATGGTGGCTCACCTAGGGGACATGCAGAAGAAATAGGAATGGGACATCGCCACCAATTTTTCTTTTTAATTATTTGTTTTTATTTTGACATAACTCTAGTAAAAAGCTATGATGATATTGAAACACTTCTTTCCTCTTCATCCAGAGGGCTTTTATTTGTTGTGTTCTTGTGTCCCCTCTAATCCCATGAACACCCTGTTTTCTAGCTTTCACTCCTAGATATTCAGTGTGTCTTTTCTAGGGTCCCAGGCCACAGGAACTTTATCTTTCATGTACACATGTGATCATCAGATTCAGGAAGTCAACAACACAGCAGGGATCCACTTTTCTTTTGTGTCCTTAATTACAAAAGGAACTTTAGACCAGGACCCTTCTTGGGTTCAATTGTCTGTTGACCAATAGTAGTAGTAGATCTCCTCTCGCTCTCCGGCTCTCCTTTTCCTTCTCCTCCCCCTCCTTCTTTTCTTCCTCCTCCTCTTTCTTTTTCTTCTTCCCTGGGCCAGTATGTTTTTTTGTTTTGTTTTGTTTTTTTTGAGATAGGATTTCTCTGTGACTTTGGAGTCTGTCCTGGAACTAGCTCTTGTAGACCAGGTTGGTCTCGAACTCACAGAGATCCACTTGCCTCTGCCTCCCGACTGTTGGCATTAAAGGCGTGCGCCACCACCTCCTGGCCAGTATTTCTTTATTGTAACACTCTCTCAACTGATTTCTTTTAACCCTGTAAGCTGGTGTTTCTCAAAGTTTGGTGCTGACTGAATTGATTTCTGGAATGGAATTGTTAGGTCATGTAGTAACTCTATGTTTATCTTTTTTTTTTTTTTTTTTTTTTTTTTTTGGTTTTTACGAGACAGGGTTTCTCTGTATTGTTTCGGAGGCTATCGGTCCAGCCTGGCCTCGAACGCACGGAGATCCACCTGCCTCTGCCTCCCCAGGCTGGGATTAAAGGCGTGTGCCACCACCACCAGGCTATGTTTATCTTTTTGAAAAAAACCTCATGTATGTGAGGTGCCTGAGCCTGAGTAGTAGCAAAAGAGAAAGTCCGGGGTCTTACTCTCTCAGGCTCTGCTGTATTTCCTTAAGGCAGGGTTTTTCACTGAACATGAAGCTGGCCAATGAACTCCTGGGACTTGCCTGACTCTGTGCTTAATGTTAGGGTTACATGCCCAGCTTTATTTAAATGTGGGATATGGGGACTCAAACTGGGGTCCTCATGCCATACCTGCATAGCAAGAACTCCTACTCACTGAACCATCTCCCCATCTCAGAATTTTTTTTTCAGAGTATCTGTACTGTTTGTTTAATTTTTGGTATTGGCTCTCATTGTGTTGTGCAGACTGGTCTTGAACTTGCATTCATCCAACCTCAGCTACTCAAGTGTTGGGATTACAGGTGTTCACGACCACACCCAGCCACAATTTTGCACCATTTCACATTTCCACTAGCAATGTATGTGAGTTCCAAGTTGTTTATATCTTTGCCCCAATTTTTCCTTTTTAAAAGCTATAACATTGTTAGTATGAAATAGTATTTCCTTGTTTTGATTTGCATTTCTCTAATGGCTGGTGATGTATTGTACATATTTTCATATTCATATTAGCATTTGTATGTCTTTGAAGAAATGTTAGCAAGTTATTTGACCATTTTGAAAAACAGGGTCATGCTTAGTTAAGGCTGGCCTTGAACTCCTGATCCTCCTGTTTCTATTCTCTCAGTGGTGGCATTATAGGTATGTGTCACCATGCCTACTCATTTTTGTTGTTGTCATCATTGAGTTCTAGATACTAAGTCCTTACCAGGCATGTGGTTTGCAAATATCCCTGTTGTATGGTTGGCTGTACTCTCCACTTTACAAGACTTATGTCTGCTTTGTGTAACTTTTTGTAAATTCAAATTTTTGGCTCTTGAAATTAAAATTGGTAAAGAGGTACAACTTTATTTTTTCCTTCCTTCCTTCCTTCCTTCCTCCCTCCCTCCCTCCTTCTCTTCTTCTTTTTTTTTTTTTTTTGGTATTTCAAGACAGGGTTTCTCTGTATTATTTTGGAGGCTGTCTTGGAGCTCACTGTGTAGACCAGGCTGGCCTTGAACTCACAGAGATCCGCCTGCCTCTGCCTCCCGAGTGCTGGGATTAAAGGCATGAGCCACCAATACCTAGCCTCCCTCCCTTATTTTTTAAAATAAACTTTATTGTAAAAAATGCAAATAAAAATAACATCACACACTGACATTCACCAGACTCAAAGTTTATATATCTCAATAAACTTATATATAGTTAGACTAGCATTTGGAATGGAAGCTGTGGAGCTTCACATTGGATTTTATATTTTCACTATTGGGTATATTTTTATGTGTTTATTCACCACTAAAAAACAAAGTTCATGACAGAATTACAGTCTTTTTATATTGTTCTATTAAATATATGTGCTAGAAGTGGACAGATAAAATATAGCCTTAATACTTATTTCTTAAAGTTCTGTAGGCTTTTTTGTTTTGTTTTGTTTTAGGTTTTTTTGAGGAGGGGGTCGAGATAGGCTTTCTTTTTGTAGTCTTGGCTGTCCTGAAACTCAGAGATCTACCTGCCTCTGCCTCCTGAGTGCTGGGATTAAAGGTGTGAGCCACCATCGCCCAGCCAATAAACCAATGTTTAAGCCTAAACATGTGTTAAATAGTTTCATATGTAGGTGTGTAGAGGGCTTAAAAAAATCAGTCTTCATTTTGGGGGTCTTATGTCGTACAGAGATTCTAAAATTCTTTTCCTTTTCTTTGTATTTTAGGCATTTATGTGTGGGACGTAGAAGGTAGGCAATACTTTGACTTCCTGAGTGCTTATGGTGCTGTCAGCCAAGGACACTGCCACCCCAAGATCATAAATGCTATGAAGAATCAGGTGGACAAACTGACCTTAACATCTCGTGCTTTCTATAACAATGTCCTTGGTGAATATGAGGAGTACATCACCAAGCTTTTCAACTACCACAAAGTTCTTCCTATGAATTCAGGTAAAATATTCCCATTTTTGTTAAGTTCTCAATAATCATTTTTTAATTTGTATTTATTTAGCATCTCACTAGATTGCTGAGGGTGGCCTTGAATTTATAATCTTACTGAATTGATGTCTCCAGTAACTGGGATTCAGTTGTGTGCCACATGCTAAGCTTATTTCTTTGATAATTTGTAGCATTAGTCAAATCTGAGCATTTTCCCTACAATAGGAGTGGAGGCTGGAGAGACTGCCTGTAAGCTTGCTCGTCGTTGGGGCTACACCGTGAAAGGCATCCAGAAATACAAAGCAAAGATTGTTTTTGCTGGTACGTGAATTTAATTGTTACATGATATGTTATCTGTGGACAGTCGTACAAAGTTTGGTGGGGGAATTCCTTTTTTGATTTCTCAGTTATTTCTTCATTTTGTGATGCTCTGGAATGAAGCCAGGGTCTAATGGATACTCAGGCTCTACTCCTGAGCCACATCCCTAGTTCAAGATGTTTAACTCCTTAATCTTCCCAGTAAGTGGCTTTGATTTAATTTCTCATCTTACCACATTTTCCTCACAGCCATTTTCTAATTACTTTTTTCTGTTTTGGTCCTAAGTTTCAAATGCAGGGCCTTGTGTTTACTGTACAGGCATTATACCACCGAACATCTGCAGCCAACGGGTCCTGTTTTTCTTCTTCTTCTTTTTTTTTTTCTTGAGACAGGGCTTCTCTGTGTAGTTTGGAGCCTCTCCTGGCACTTGCACTGTAGACCAGGCTGGCCTCCATTCTTTTGTTTTTTGAGACAGGGTTTTATTTTTAGCTGTGACTTTCCTGGAATTCATTACATGGACTAGACTCTCCTCAGACTCACAGAGATCTGCCTGCTACTACCTCTCAAGTGCTGGGATTAAAGGCATGCTCCACTATGCTGGTTTGTGGCCAGGACTTTAGTCCAAATATTGAGTATGCCCTTGTGTTGTATTCTTAGAAACTATCAGGAACAGGAGGCTGAAGCTGCCCTTGTTATACTTCTGAGAATGGTTGAGAAGGAATACTTTGGATTCTTGTTAAAGAGACTTACAGGTTTTTTAAAGGATGATGTAATCTGAGATGATAATTTTTGTGGGATATTCAAATGGTAGGTTCTGACTTTTTAAAGTTTTGAGTTTAATTTTAAGAAGTATATATTGATTTTTGTGATCAAAACCCACTTTTGCTTTGTCTGGTGAATACATACAATTCAATTATAAATCCTATAGCACAATAAAGTAATGATCAGTGTTTGAAGTGACAGATTATGATCTGAAGAAATATTGATACAGTTCTGTAGTTTACCACTTTTTTTTGAGGGGGTGGTGTTTCTAGACAGGATTTCTCTGTGCAGCCCTGGCTGTCCTAGAACTCACTTTGTAGACCAGGCTGGCCTCGAACTCACAGATTTGCCTGCCTCTGCCTTCCAAGTACTGGGATTAAGAGTATGCACTACAACTGCCGGGCTCCATTTTTATTTTTTAAAGCTCAAAGACATTTTATTTAGGGTTAAAAGAATAGCCATAGGTAGACAAGCTATAAACCCTGCAACTGCCCAGAGGAGGGACACAGAAAAGGAAGGCAGGAGCCACATGGCAGATGAGCAGCTACGTGACAGACAGGAGGGCTTCACCAAAGCATGAGAAGGCCTAAAGTACTAGAGAAAGTATACGTAGGCTTTTGCCAGCATCCAAAAGAGACAGAAAAGAAGAGATGGGAAAGGTTCCACTTTTCTGAGTAATTCAGAAAAAGGATGGCTTAATCCAGCCACATAGCTGTGGCTTCATAAGCAACTGCCTGTAATTTACCATTTTAAAATCTTGTGTTTTAGTTGTGGGTATCCTGGCTGGCTATTATAGATTGATTGTACAGTCTCTTTCATACTAGTGAAGGGTGCAAAGATATTTTTACATTGTATTGACAGGCTGATAAGTCAGTGGCTTGGAACGACAGAGAAAGACTGTCTCTGTTCCTGCAGGGTGAGCATCAGGATGAGATCCCTGAGGCTAGGGAGAGCTGAAGAAGTTGGCTGCTGGTCTCATCAGTGCGTGTTATCTTAAAGAGTATGCTTTTGTCTGTGAATGAGAAAAAGATGGACTGATGCATGAGTCAGAGACTCAGGTGACAGAGATGCCAAGAAGCTAAGATACAACCACCTAGTGCCGACCGAGTCTGTTGAGTTGCTGCTGTCAACACATCCTTAGTATGATGAATTTCCATTTTCCACTGTATTGTACATGGTTGGGTTTAACCCCATCTGAAATCATGTAGTTGTTTGCTTTGCTGGTTGGTGTTAGGATATTTGCTTCCTACTGGAGTGGAAGCTCTGAGGACAGGCAGCTCCCGGGCTGGTTACCTGTCCATTCCCTGTCCTGGAGCAGTGCCTGACCTCCAGTGGCCCCCAGCCACATTTATTAATAGAAAAAAGGGTGATCCTGAGGAAAGGCAGATGTCTGATTCCTTTAGCATTATGGAGGATTATATGTCAAGGAAGGCAGCATGGAAAGCATGGATTGTCTGAGGATCTTTGCTGTAAATAAATTTTAAAATGCGATATGTTGAGTAGGTAGCTTGCAGTATTGGGTTAGCAAAAGGAAACTGCTGCCGGGTGGTGGTGCTCACGCCTTTAATCCTAGCACTCAGGAGGCAGAGGCAGGTGGATCTCTGAGTTTGAGGCCAGCCTGGTCAACATAGTGAGTTCTGGGACAGCCAGAACTGCACAGAGAAAACTCTGTCTCGAAAAAACCAAACCAAACAAACAAACACCCAAAAAACAAGACACCAGAAAAACAAACTGCTAATCTCTAAGCAGGATATTCTCTTTCTCACATTCCTATTGTAAATATACCTTCTTTGTCTAGAAACCATGCTTTGAATGCCTCAGTTGTTAGGCTTTGGTTAGAACTGAGAAAAGTGTTATAGAGAAGTGTCTAAAATAGTATTTAAAGGAGACCTGTTGGCCTGCTATCAGGGGAACTGTTAGAATTAGTATCAGATTTTGTTTGAGTAGCTGAAAGTGCATAGAGTTTCTCTAAATAACCCTTTATTTATTTTTAGTCAGGCTTCCCAAGATGTTTGTAGGGCAGTACTTATTAAACTTGTGGGTTTCTTTGGAATAGTCACTGTTTGTCTTTCCTTTTAGATGGAAACTTTTGGGGTCGAACCTTGTCTGCAATCTCCAGTTCCACAGACCCGACCAGTTATGAAGGCTTTGGACCCTTCATGCCAGGCTTTGAAACCATCCCATATAATGATCTGCCTGCACTGGAGGTACATTAGGGTGGCTGTGGCATTTGGATTATAGCAACTGGGAACCATTTTGAATTAATCGTTACCTGTTGAGTATGTGAATTAAAAATACATTAATGAGAGGGCTGGGGACATGTTTCAGTGGTTAAGATCACATACTGCTCTTGCAGAGGACTCAGGTTCAGTTCCTTGCATCTATTCGGTAGCTCACAACCTTCTGTAATTCTAGTTCGGGGCACTCTAACGCTGGCCACTTTGGCAACAGGCATGCTGTGGTGCAGATACATACTTACATAGCAGGTAAATGTTGACATTTAAAAATTAAAGTTATTAATGAGGGCAGTGGAGATTGCGCCGTGGTAAAACAACATGTGTGAGGTCCTGGGCTTGACCCCAGTACTAAGAACATTCTATGAGTCTGAAAATGCATTGTAAGTTAGGCTGACATCTGAGACTTACTCTCAGTAGTGGTCAATCAGTTTCCAACCCAGGGAAATCTGCTTTTGTCATCTAGTACTTAGGCCAGCTAACCAGTTCAGATCATAACAACTGAGTGTTACCCACTTAATGACTTTGTAAAATTAATTTCTTTCTCTCTCTCCCTTCTTTCCTTTTATTCTCTTTCTTTCTTTTGAGATAGACTCTCATTTTGAAGCCTTGGCTGACTTGGAATAGTATGTAGCCCAGGCCAGTCTTGAACTCATCTTGAGATCTGTCTGGCTCTGCCTCCCAAGTGCTGAAATTAAAAGTGTGTACCATCACTCTTGGCCCAGATAAAATATTTGAAACTTGCAAATTTTAGTACTTCATTTGTGGTGCTAGGAAAGGAACCCAAGGCCATGTAGATTCTAGGCAATTGTTTTACCAGTGATGCATCTCCCATCTCCAAAGTGGAGTATTTTGAAAAAAAAAGTCATAAGATAACTTTAACAGGCCACTTAGTTTTTGAAGAAAAGTTTATGTGTTTGCCTGCATGTAAATCCACCATGTGCATGCCATGCTCAAGGAGGCCAGAAAGGCATCAGATCCTTTGGAACTGGACCGTAAGCCCTATGTGGGTGCTAAAAATGGAACCAGGGTTCTTGGCAAGAGTAGTCAGTGCTCTTAATGGCTGAGGCACCTCTCCAGCTCCTGCTTTAGCTTTTAGTTATAATATATCTGTGATATAGCAAAATGTGGGGATAATCTGGCCTAGTGGTATATGCCTATAAACTCAGCATGCTATAGTCCTGCAGTTACAGGTGTGAACCTCCATGCCAGGCTTCATCACTCCCCCTTTATTTGTTTAATTTATTTATTTACTTGGAGTGTTTTGCCTGCATGTATGTATGCTTCTGAAACTGGTGTTATGAGTGGTTGTGAACCATCAAATGGGTGCTGGGAGTCAAACCCAGATCCTCTGGAAAAGCAACAAGTGTTCTAAACCACTAAGCTATTTCTCCAGTCCCTCATTCTTATTCTTAACAGGAAGTATGTATGTAAAGTATTTGACTTCAGTTGCCAAATATGGTAGAATGGAAGTTATTAGAACTCCCTTTTGTTTCTTTTGTAGCGTGCTCTTCAGGATCCAAATGTTGCTGCCTTCATGGTGGAGCCCATCCAGGGTGAAGCTGGTGTTATTGTTCCAGATCCAGGATATTTGACAGGAGTTCGAGAACTCTGCACCAGGCACCAGGTGGTCCCATTCACGTTGCAGTGAGGCCGAACTTGCCTGCCCTTGTTTGAACTCTGCCAATAGGATAAATGATTGTCTCGTTTTCCACTGGATGAGTTCCAAGAGTTGAGGAACATTTTAATGCTTAGAACCCTCTATGGAAGCTACTTTTCAGTCTCTAGAACACGGGCGAGACACTATGTTGTGGGCTGCTGCAGCTGCAGACCTCTAGGCCCTTACTGTGATCTTCTTCTCTCTTCTCTAGGAGCCTTGTGCTCTTTTAATCCCTCCCAAGCCCTGTCTTGCTTTCCTTTGCTCCAAGTGCTATGACTTTTCTTCCATTTCTTTCACCAAAGCTAATAGTATATTTTGCTTACTCTCGAGAATTCCAGAAAATATTTGATAATTGCCTAGGAGTACTTATCTGAATTTGTTCTTAGAGTGTAATTAGGGCCATTAAAGCCCTACAAATGTTTCATGTTTGTATAAGTGCTTTTCTGCCATGCAAAGCATTGCCACACAGGCCCTTGGGAAGTATTTGCCTGACACAGCCAACAGATTTCTATAGGATACCATTGAAATTGTGTGGGTAATGAAAACATCTTTGCAGATTGCATGGTGTGTCAGAATGATACTTAGTGGAAGGGTTGAAATGATGGTGGTCTTTGTTTCCTCATGAAGTGAGAATGACAGTTGTTATTTCTCCCAGGTCCTGTTTATTGCTGATGAAATACAGACGGGACTGTCCAGAACTGGTAGATGGCTGGCTGTGGACCATGAGAATGTCAGGCCTGACATAGTTCTTCTTGGAAAGGCCCTTTCTGGCGGCTTATACCCTGTAAGTTCAACATCCCTTTAGTTTTTTCTGACCTTGCCCAGGATGCTTTTATGTTGTTAGATTTGACCACATGTAATATAGGCCACCTGAAACATTTTAGAGATCCGTTGTGTGGTGCACTTGGTTAGTTTTGACCAAGTGGAATGTGTGCTTTGGGATGTGCTGTGGCTTGACTTGGACAGAAGCATTTCCCCTCAGAAGCTCCTCCTCCCACTTTTCAGAAAGTGGTACTACTAATTGTTCATTCAAAACTGTGAACAATGAACGTAAGATGGGACAATTGTTCTTTTTTTGGGTTACATCCAGAGCCAGTAATTGATGTGGGATCAAAGGGCTTTGGACAGTAGATGTTCCTGCTGAGTAGACTAAATTGTCTTCTTGTGGAGAATGCCCAAGTTTATTTTCTAAGCTCACACTTTGGAGAGGACCGTAAATTATCTCATTGCCAAAACAGCTCTGCTTGGGTTGCAGAGATGGCTAAGGAGTTAAGCGCACTGGCTTTCTCTTCCAGAGGACCTGGGTTCAGTTCCCAGCTCCCACCTGGCACTTCACAACCATCTGTAACTCCAGTTCCAGAGGATCCAACACCCTCTCTGGTTTCCATGGGCACCTCTAAACAAGTGGTTGCATAGACATACATGTGGACAGGACACCTCATACACATAAAATAATAAAAAAGGTTTTTTTTTAGTTTTCAAAGTGTGTATTATGTTTAATAGTTTTATGCCACTGACGTTTATCTGTGCTCCGTAATGTGTTGGGCCTGTCTTAGGTTATTATTAAGAGTTAGAGGCAGATGTAAACTGCTGTTGATAGAACTTGATATCAGCGTTACGGAAGTGTCTGTGCCCCTGGCGTGCTGAGACTATGAGGAATGACATGATGGGTTCTGTCTTCCAGGTGTCTGCAGTGCTGTGTGATGATGAGATCATGCTGACCATTAAACCAGGAGAACATGGCTCCACATACGGTGGCAATCCACTAGGCTGCCGAATTGCCATTGCAGCTCTTGAGGTGAAAACTGATAGGGCTAAATGATACCTACATTTAAGTAGTGTTGGAGTTATTTTTAATTTGAGTCCTGGCGTAATAAGTTTAATAAGATTGCCAAGTGGGAGAGAACATGAAGTGCAAAGGAAGGTTTTAGGAGCAAGCTGTTCTCAAAAAGTAAGGTAGCTTTCTGCCTTGTGTAATAGACTGGACTCATCTGAGCTTCTCTTGTCTGTAGTCAGTCACCTGGCAGTGGCAGAACTCCTTCCTGTATGCCGACTACCTACTATGTCCCTTTGGTTTAGCAAGCAAGATTTGTTTTTTTCTTGTTTCTGTTATGTTTAAAACAAGCTTTCACTATGTAGTTCACACTGCCCTGGATTTTACTGTGTAGCCCAAGCTATACAGCTCGGTATCCTCTTGCTTTAGCTTCCCAAGTGCTAGGATTAGAGGTGACCACAAAACTCTTTTTCCCTTTTATTTATTTTCAAGCTCTTGGATTTGAGGGCTGGTAGTAGCTCGGTGGAAGAGGAAGGCCTTGGGTTTGATTCCTTAGTACCACACAGATAAAACTGGAGTCTGGCATAGTTGTACACATCTGTAATCCCAGCACTGGGGAAGCTGAAAGGCAGAACATTCACAAGTTTGAAGCCAGCCTGGGAAAGTACATGTAAGATATAGTAATTTGCTTGGGGGAGGAAAAGGGCAATTCTGCTGCAGTTTAGAGTTACATTATACTTAGTCCATTGAGGTGTTCAGATAATAACAGCATATCGTATTAAACAATTTTTTTTTCAAGACAGATTTTTCTCTGTATAGGCTTGGCTATTCTGGAACTTGTTGTGTAGACCAGGCTGGCCTCAAACTCACAGAGGTTCTCCTGCCTCTGCCTCCTGAGTGCTGGGATGAAAGGTGTGTGTGCCGCTACTGCCTGGCTTGCATTAAACAAATTTTAATCTTTTTTTGCCACGAAGACTGGGTGGCGATGGATTTGTGATTAAAGCAAGACTCAGAGGTTTTATTTATTTAGCTAGAAATTAATACAGGCCCTGATAAGCAAATGTAGGTGATGTCACTCTGGCCTCTGGTCTCATCACAGGTGCTTTTTGCTTCTAACCTACATGGATTGCTCCAGGACACTCTTAACATTTGTGTAATTTTTTAAAAACCAGGTTTTAGAAGAGGAGAATCTTGCTGAAAATGCAGACAAGATGGGTGCCATCTTGAGAAAGGAGCTTATGAAGCTGCCCTCTGATGTTGTGACCGCTGTGAGAGGGAAAGGATTGCTAAATGCCATTGTCATCAGAGAAACCAAAGGTAATGTTCACAGCACATGGCCGCAGTCCTTTCAAAGACGACATAGTGGGGAGGGCAGTCCTCTCTAACAGCGGACTAGACTGTTGTCAAGCCTTTCAGATGGAGTTTGACCTGATTGTATAAATGTTATCCTAAATGTAGATCTTTCCAACAGGAAGGCATGTTTAACTCATTTGACCAAGTGTTTGTTCCTTGCAGACATTTCTTTTCCTGTCTCTGTTAGTCAGGCAGCACCTGGGGATCCCGGGTTAGTTCTTGTTAATCTTTCCCCTCACTTGAATGCTTTGTACATCCAGCAGAGGCTGTGGAAGCAGCAGTAGGAATAAAAGGAATGACTTTGTAGATAGTAGATAGTGGAGGTTTGAGGCTTCATGGTGTGTGACATCAGTTATCACCCTCCAGGGTACCCTGCTGGGTTTTCTTGGGCTAACCCTTCCTTTTAAAGCAGTGATTCCCTGCTGAGGAGCTTTTGAGAAAGGAACTGAGCCTGGTCCCAACCAAGAGCATCTGCTGTGACAGGTTGGGGCAGGGTAGACTCAGGCAGCTCTAGGCAATTCTGCCTGCAGCCAGGTTGAGAAACACTGCTGGGAAATGACACTTAGTTGTGGTCAGGAGGCATTTCCGTATCAGCTATGTATAGTGTCCTAGGATTCGGGGATTGCTTATTCCCGTTGTTTCATTTTATGTATCCTACCCAGGTTCTTTTACATTAGCTCCTTCTGATTGCATGTTAGGTACCCCTAATTTGAGAAGTTGAAATGGTCCCAAGTCTGAAAGGTTTGAACATCCCAGAGGACAGGCCATAATCAAAATGCAGTTTCACTAAGAACCTTGGGTGAAATTACCTTTAGGCTGTGTGAATGTGAAATAAGAGTTTCATGTTTACATGGGCCCCTTTTCCAAAACACCTTCTCTCCTTCTGTGTATGCTGACATCCCTGAATTTGGAAGGTGCCTTTCTGGCCTCAAGCACTGCAGACAAGGGGTATAACAGTCTACATATGTCATTCAAACCTGGTTATGTGCTTGCCAAAAAAGTCAGAAACACAGCCTCATGAGCAAAGCAGTGACTTAGAGCTTCTTTTCCTCAGCAGACACTGGGGACACTGTCTGGTGGGACTGTGAGCATTTACTATGACAGGGGTATTCATACATTAATCTCTGTGTGTATGTTGTGACCATCTTTCTGTAGATTGTGATGCTTGGAGGGTGTGTCTTCGGCTCCGAGATAATGGGCTCCTGGCCAAACCAACCCATGGTGATATCATCAGGTTAGCCCCTCCACTTGTGATCAAGGAGGATGAGATCCGGGAGTCGGTGGAAATCATTAACAAGACCATCTTGTCCTTCTGAGAGTAGGAACTGCTCAGTGGCCCCTGGGAACCATCTTCAGATGGGCTTCTTGTGAAACTGTGCTCACCGTGGGCAGATCCCACTTGTCTGTCTCTTAAGACTTTTTTTGGGATACATATACGTATTTTTTTCAGTTGATGCATAGTAGAGTGACACGAACCTGCAGTTGGCTGTGTAACAGAAGAATGAGAATGAGTGGCATCTCTCTTTGTTAAGTTTTGACTGTGGGAACTTTCTAAGGGGAAGTGTTTCCACCTGTACACAGCCTTCAAATCCAGTCCTCCAGTCATTTATATATGTTTTTATAGTTTCCTTACTGCTGTGAATGTTTTGTATTCAAAAGTTATTTCTGAGATACTACATCAGAGACTAGCTTATTGAATCATGCAATGGAATCAATGAGTGTTAAGATAATTGAAGATTAAGCATATATAAAATAGTAGTTTCTGGTAAATGTTTCATTGGCCCATACCAGAATGTATTGTATAGATTCTGAGAATTCATTCCTAAATTATACTTTGAGTTCTTGATTGCAATTTGTATAACATTTATTTTCAGTATTTCTTTGAATAAAACTAATTTTTCTTTTTACCCCAACAGAGTATTTTGTATTTCCATATTGGTAATAATCATTGTATTTCATTCTTATGACTGACATGTCATCTCCTCTTGAGACCATCGAGTGCATTTCAGGCTTTTTATTCTAAATAAAGCTATGATTAGTTCAGATCTGTATAATGATGTGAGTTGTTTTTATTTGTTTTTTTTTTTTACTTTAAATTTTGTTTCATTTTTCTCTACTGTGTTTTGGGGAATAACTTCCTATAAGATGCTTGCTGTTCAAAGGGGATGGACTTTCTGACCATTCACTCCTCTGTAGGCAACCTGGTGCTCCCTGTACCCAAGGAGGTCACCATATTGATGCTGAACTTAGTGTGGACACCTGATCAGGATAGAGCACTACAGCTCAGATACAAACTCAAGTGATCCTCCTGTCTCAGTCTTAGCCTGACAAATAATTGGGACTACAGGCACGTACCACCTTGCCCCTGCAAAGGGGATGAACTTTTAAAGACCCAAGTTTGGTTCCTAGCACCTGCATTGGGTGACTTGCCACCTCCTGCTTCTCTAGCTCTATCTAGGGAACCTGATGCCCTGCTCTTGGCATCTGCACCCATCACACATACACACATTAAAAAAAACATAATAAAACACTAAGTTCAATAGCACCTGACCAACCTCGTGTGTGTGTGTGTGTGTGTGTGTGTGTGTGTGTGTGTGTGTGTGTTTGTGTGTCTGAGATTCCACATTTCCTGCAGGCTATCTCTGAGACTTAGAGGCTGCTTTAGGACCTGGGATCCTGCATCAGAGAGTCTCCAGAGGAGGCCTGAAGACAAGGTGGACTTGGCAAATGAAGCTTCTGGCCAAATTCCTTGGAAGGCCATCTTCAGATAGAAGAGAGGAAAACATGGTTTTACAAGAAGACTTTTAGGGTGAGGGGTTCAGGAAGGCGGAAAGCTTTGAATTACAGGCAAACTGGGCCTTGGGTTGATGATCCCTGGGATTGCTGAAATAAGGAACGGGTGAGGGCACTTTTTACCACCACAGAAAACCTGCATACTGACTACTGTGCCACCCATGTGCACAGGGAGCCAGCTGCAGTGGTGAGCCAGATATTAGGCAGTCCCGTGAAGAGAGCTGCTTAGTGGCTCATGAGAGCCTAATGTTTCTCATAAGATGGAGTGGGACCTGCCTTTCAGGAGAGTGATAAATAAGGGATGATTGGTAAAGCCCCAGGCATGTTCAACTAAAGAATAACTTCTCTAAAGGAGGAAACAATTTATTCTGAGATGCAGTAACCATGATCTAGGAATCCCTGAAAGACACATGCTACTATGGAAGAGGTTACACACACTTACATAGTCCAAACAAAGTCATAAACATGTTTACAAAATATAGAGATGGGCAAAGGCAGGCGATCTCTGAGTTTGAGGCCAACCTGGTCTACAGTTCCAGAACAGGCTCCAAACCAAAGCTACATAGAGAAACCCTGTCTTGAAAAACCAACACACACACACACACACACACACACACACACACCATGTATATGTATATGGTTCATCAGGTAGGGTGCTCGGGATGACATTCCTAGCTTTAGTTCAGACTAGAGACCTGTCAGGCTTAGCAGTCCATTCTGTAAGCTGCATCTAGTTGCAAGAGGATGTGAGGTAGATGCAGGTATTGGAGCTAGAGGGTGACTTCAGAGACCAAGGGCAGCTTCAGCTATTTGTCTGCATCATCCAGATCTCCCATCACAGGGTCAGTGAGTGGCTCTTCAGAGACATCCCTCAGAAAGCATGTCCCTCTGGTACAGCATTGTAGGTGGGGAGCTTGCTAGAGTTCATCTCCTGTGACTGCAGAAGTTGATAAGAAAGTTAAATAAAGGAACGGTAACTCAGATAAGGGAGAGATGGGGGAGAGGAGGGGAAAAGATAGGGCTGGTTGCACCCAGAGTGGGAGGGGCAGTCCAGGCCTGGTCCTGTGATGGCTGCCAAAAGAATTCGGAGGAGACAAAGAAACTTAGTGTAGAAGATGGTTTAATAGAGAGTAAAGAATTGAGTGGGCAATGTTCAGAAAAAAAATCCATTGTACTGACCTACATTTAAAACATTTATTGATTGACTAAACACACTTTCATGTAGCATAGGCTGGCCTCAATCTTGCTATGTACCCAAAAAATGATCTTGAACATCTGATCCTTATATCTCTACCTTTCAGCTCTGGGGATCAAACCCTGGTCCTTGTTCATGTTGGGTAAACACTACCTCGCAATCTACACTTTTGGTAGGCTTTATTCTATGTCTAAAGTCTTTAGGACAGACAGTTTTCCCTGACAGGGCAATTTCCTGTCTAGGCTATTGGCAGGAACATTTTGGAATGCTACTCAGGAAAGGACAACGGTATGTTCTGTTCTTTACCACCAATACAAATCTTATGACCTTGGTAGCTCAGAATGTTACGTCTCTCTAGGCCAGATCTTCTTTTGATCATTAACCAGAGTCCTGCAGTTCCTCTCCCTGGCTTTACAGGCTGCTGACAAAGGACAGAAGGATCCATCCTCAATGACCCTCAAGTCTGCTAACGTCTAGCTAGTTGGGGGTGTTCCTTAGAACCCTATTACCTTTTTACCCCCTCACCGAAGACCAACTAGCTGCCTATAGTAGTTGCTTGTCTGTAGCCATGATAAAACACCATAACCAAGAGCATCTTATGGAAGAAATTTATTTTGGTTTATGGTTCCAGGGAGATAAGAGTCATGGCAGGGAGGCATAGCAGCATGGCAGCTGGAGCAGGGAGCAGAAAGAGCACAACTTTTGATTTTGTGTTTTTGAGACAGGGCTTCTCTGTGTAGCTCTGGCAGACCAGGCTGGCCTTGAACTCGGAGATTCACCTGCCTCTGCCTCCTGAGTGCTGGGGTTAAAGGTGTGTGCCTGGTGAGAGATCACATCTTTACCTGTGAGCAGGAACTGAAGTGACATATCCCAGTGACATACTTCCTTCAGCGAGCCATACTTCCCCATAACCTCTCTAAACCGCCAACTGAGGACCTGGTGTTTAAATGCCTGAGCCTGTGGGGGCTGTTTCTCATTTAAATCACCACAGGTAGAAAAGAAAGGGGGTCCACTTACCACACCACTCCCTTTATTCTGTCACTTAGGACTTGTGATTTGGATTGTCTGTCACCTCCCAGAGTACCTCATCAAAAACAGTCACTGCTCACATGACAACACAGGGTGAACGAGGACCTCTGACTTACCTAGAATTGCAGGGACTTAGCCCAACCACAGAAGGCTGAGCTGGGCCGGAGGAAGGGTATGTGTGCTGCTCACTCATTTCCCAGCCTCCTAGGTTCCCAGAGACAATCAGATGCAGCAGGGAGTCTAGCCAAACAGGAACTCGTTTATTGCCCCACAGCAAGCAATTGTTAAAGCAAAAAACTGCAGAGGGGGGCTGGGGACGGCCAGTTAATGGTCTTAAAGGTCAGCCTATCATGCATCTAGGTGCCCTATGCTCTACCTAGTGAAAGCTAGCCTTTCATGTAGTGAACTCATCTGGTTTGATCTTGGCAATCAGTCACCCTTTTTTGTAAACATCTCAGGACTCACCCTCCTGACTTCCCCTTGGTGTCATCTTTAACTGGCTCATGTGCCCTTCAAGAATAATGCACCAGATAAAACCAGTAAGGGCCAGGAAGTTGGAGTTCCTGTCTGGAGTGTGTGCTCACTTATTTGGGATGCTCCATGTGGGCCCAGATCTGTGCTTCTCAATGCTGGCTGTACATTAGTCACTGGGCTTCTTGCTCTACCTGTCAATTATATTGCAATCTCTAGGCTGGGGCCTTGGTATCAGGATAGTATATGTTCCCAGGGGAATTGTAACAGCCCTTGTGAGATGGCTGTTTAAGTATAAAATTCAAGGTATCATCCATTCAGCCATGCCAGGCTTTGAGCTGCCATTAAGAGGCTACTGGTGAATGAGGCTCACAGACCCTGACCTTATGGGGCTTTTTAGTAGATAGGTATATTTATTGGCCAAAATGTTTATTGAGTTCTGCTTGGCTGGCCCTGAAGATTGGCAGTGGTTCAAAGAAGTGGCACTCATCAAGCAGTCTGTGCCAGGCACTATTCCAAAGATGATAATTCTTGTCATAGGTGCACTTACCTACAATTACAGATGGGGAAACCAAGGCTTAGGAAGGCATACTTGTCCTACTCACTGAAATAGGGAACAGTAACATCTGGGCTGGGCAGGACTAGGCTCTGAGGGAGGGGTGGTTCTAGGTGTCTCTGGGGCTGGAGGTTGGCAGTACCACTTCTTTGTCTCTGGAGCATGGTTGAGATGCCCTTCAAGTATGTAAAAGCATTTCAATTCATTTCTGATTTGGGGGAGAGAGTCATTAAATGTCAGTTGGAGCCACAGTGATGAATAATAAATATACAGTAGTAGTTTATTCCTGTTAGGAAAAACTCAGATATACACTAGGACTTCCTCCATGGTTCCTTGCATGTGTTAGATTAGTTCAGAGTTTTATTAGCTTCCCACCCCAGCTTTTACTTTTATTAGCTTGCAAATGAGACTTACCCCTTTGTGCCAGCCCCTTATTTTAACTGTTTATGAACTATCTGACCTATAATTTGTATCATGGTAGGTAAGGATAAGACCCTGGGTGGAGGGCAACATAGGGGCAAAGGGGCTCCTGGAGGAAACTAGGAAATATTAAGAGAGCAAAGGTATAAAAGAGGTTAGACGTGTTTGTGTGTGTGTGTGTGTGTGATTGTGTATGGTTGTGTAGGTAATGAGGGACCCTGAGGTGGATATTAGCTTATAAAAAGATCTACTTAGGAATCTGAAGTGCCTAGAGACAGATATCCTGCAATGGAAGTCTGTCTAGCCATCATGTTCCTCTGCTGTCTTTCATGAAAGGATCTATGAGATCCCTGGGTGGGGATGTAGGCACCTGTTATAGTCTGCACTATTACTGGGGTGGACACCAGCCATGCTTATTTTAGGAAAAGATATTTTTATTTTATGCATATGTGTGTATGCCTGAGTGTATGTTTGTGTATCGAATGGGTGCAGGTCCCTCACAAATCAAGAAGAGGGAGTTGGATCTCCCTGGAGTTACAGGAGGTTGTGAACTGCCCCATGTGGGTGTTGGGAGCTGAACCCAGGCA